CACACACACACACGCGCGCGCGCGCGCGCACGTGCCCCTCCTGTCTCACGCGCCCCCTCTCTCTCTCACACGGGGCACCCCTGTCGTGAGGATGAAAAAAAAAGACAAAAAGAAAAAGGATCGAATTCGACCGGAATGATATCTTGTATACATTCATTATAAGGGTTCGTTGTGGACGCCTAGACGGCGCAGTCGTGGCAGAAGTAGGTACGGGAAAAAAAAAAAAGTCGAGGACGAGAAAAAAGAAAAGAAAAAAAGACCAAATCGGATTGCGGAAACAACATTCCAAAAGGAGGGGAAAAAACTGCAAATGCCAAATTGAGATTTGCAATTTGGAACGGATGGCAACTAGAAGAAGGGGAGATGGATGGAGAGAAAGGGAGGAGGGAGAAAGGATGAGGGAGAAAGGGAGGAGGGAGAGATGGACGAAGAAGAAGGGAGGAAGGAGGAGGGAGAAAGGGAGGAGGAAAGAGCGAATAGCGAGTCGACATGTGGAGGGAGAAAGGGAGGAGGAAAGAGCGAATAGCGAGTCGACATGTGGAGGGAGAAAGGGAGGAGGAAAGAGGAGGGAAAAGTGAGGTGCTGCGTGGAGGAGGGAGAAAGGGAGGAAGGAGGCAGAAAGGAGGAGGGAGAAAGGGAGGAAGGAGTCTCAGAGAGGTAGAGATAGACGATGAAAGAGGGGAGGGGAGGCGGGAGGGAGGAAGAGGGAGAGATGGACGAGGAAGAAGGGAGAGAGGAGGTGGGAGAAAGGGAGGAAGGAGGAGGGAGAAAGGAAGGAGGAAAGAGGGGGCAGCGACTCCAGAGGGTCGAGTCAGTCCACGCGTAGAGGATGGGAAGGGTGGAGGTGCCGCGCGGAGTGAAAGCCCCTGTCACTAACGTAACAAGGGCAGAAAAAAAAAAAAAAAGGTGATTGGATGGTGGATTGTTCGAAGGACAGAGACAGGAGGAGAAGGGAAGAGCGAAGAGAGAGAGAGAGAGAGAGAGAGAGAGAGAGAGAGCGCGAGCTGGAGACAACCCACCTCAACCGGCTCGGTGATTCCTCCTCGCTCCCGATGCCTGCTCCAGCTGCCTCCTGCTGCGTGCTGCTGCCTGCTGCTGCCTGCTGCTGCCTCCTGTTTCTTGCTCCGGCTGGTGCTGCTGGTGACGGGCGGGCACGACCGACGACGAACACGTACGACACGACGGCCGCCAAAGTGACAAGGCACAACTGGCAGGTCAGTGAAGTGCCGGGGTACCCGACGGCGGCGTGGGGGAGCCCTGAGTAGTTCAAAAACGAACTAATCAGATCTCCCCCCAAAACTTTTACCGACCTCCGCGCGGCCCCAAAAAAAAAATTCGCGCCCACGGAGGTAATTTCCCCCGGTACCCCTCCGGGCCTCCCAACCCCCCCGGGACTTTTTTTTTTCCACGACCCGTGTTTTGGCCCGAACTAATCAGATCTCCCCCCAAAACTTTTACCGACCTCCGCGCGGCCCCAAAAAAAAAATTCGCGCCCACGGAGGCAATTTCCCCCGGTACCCCTCCGGGCCTCCCAACMCCCCCAGGACTTTTTTTTTTCCACGACCCGTGTTTTGGCCGACGCACGGCATGCCGTGCGCGCGCCGGCTGCACTCTGCGCCGCACGTGCCGCGACGCCGCGCACGGCATGCACCGCAAGTATGTTTTTTATTTTTTTGGCCCGGCCGGGCAAGTGACCCCGGGCCACTCTGGTAGCCCAGAGCCACACCTTTCTTTTTTTTTTTTCTTTTTTTTGTGTGTGTGTGAGAGAGAGAGAGAGGGGGTGAGAACAGGTAAAAATATTGTAGTTAGCTCTGCTAATGTTACAAGTGACGTGAGCAACATTTATGTCACGATAACAACGATGGAAATTGGTTGCTTGCTCAATGCAACGTTGTTTTTAGCACGAGCGTTTCTTTGAATGTTGCTCCACGACGTCAACTTTGCTCGAACCTAAAAATCAACGCAGGTTTTTTTCTGTTGATGCGTGGTGAGTGGGATGCGTCCTAGTCGACCGACGACGGGCCGCGCTTGGGACTTCAGCCCCCCAAGATGTCGGTTCGCGTGCGGGTCCAATAGAAGCGTAATACCGCGCGTACCCCCTATGCTACAACGAACGAGAAACGCCCTCGGCTGGTCCACCTCTGCGATTGCAACTGATCAGCTTTCGTACTGTGGACTGGTAGCTCGGCGGGGATACGTCCACCGAAGGGAGGTGACAGCTCCCGTAAGGTGGAGGTACGTCGTGCCTCGCGTAGGCCCTATCCTATCGTAGGGGCTCGCGGGAGGTATGGCTGGCGCACTCGGCCTGAGCGGCTTGTGGAAGCTCCATGTATATTCGCGACGAAGGATCCAAACCAACTCCTGTGTGACGCGGTCGGGAGGGTCCCGAGCTGCCCTGGTGCGGTGCCGGACCAATGCGCTCGACAGCAGGAGGATAGCAACGTCGGGGAGGTAGAGCCTGCACGAGAAAACGTGAAACGACAAAGAATGACGAAGAAAACAGTAGCGGGAGGATAGCAACGGCGGGGAGGTTCAGCCTGCACGAGAAACGACGAAGAAAACGGCAGTGGGAGAAAGATGGGGTGTCAGGGTTGAAGACAAAAGTGAGGAGGACAACATAGGTGGGGAAACGATTGGACCTCGGAGCGTGCATGAGAAACAGCGAACAAAGTCAGCAGCGAGGGAGATACTGGGACCTCGGGGTGGAAGACAATGACAGATAGTGCATCGGAGAAGCGAGGAGTCCGGACAAGAATGGTGCACGTGGTGGCGACATAGACGACGAAGAGAACAACCCACAAACGCTGCTACTGTGCGGGCGGGAGACGATCCTGGGGAAGGTAAGCGCCCCCGTGGCCGGCTACTCTGCCACCCTGTCCCGCTCCTCTGACCTGTGCCTAACCCACCCCGACTGCCCAACTACAACCCCTGCACCTTGACCCTATCGCCCCCCCTCCTTCGAAAGTGAACCTATCGCACGTCACATATAATCCTTATCCCTATCCCCTACCGAACTGACGAGAAGATGTACACAACCTGAACTTAACCCCTCCCTCTTCCACCCCCTTGTGACACCTAAACTCCCTCTACAAGATATGCGACACTGCACACTCCGCCCGCTCCACATGGAATGACAGATGGACGAATGATTTGAACATACAAACACTTGGTGTTAAACACAACAACAGCCCAATAATTATTTACACTCCCACCTCAAATGGAGTGAAGGATGGTGAATGATTCACCAAAATAGACCACATGGATTGACTCACTCAACAACTAATACAAACACTTACCTTAGCATAGGCTTACATACAACACTTACCCTAGCAGCTGCTCGCACACAAACCGCACGTGGAATACACAGGCCAGGAGCGAAAGATCACAAACAGACATTGATAGCCTGCACAAGGACATACTCAATCGTACGAAATACACACACTACTGATCCGCTATGGACGGACAGAGAGCTGGCCCGGAAGGGCAATAACAGACTACCCTAACCGGACCAGCCCCACCTTTCTCTCGACAGGAGCCCGGGCCAAGTGGGCACGACGGGTTCCCCGATCTAGGGCCGACGCTAGTCGGGACAACGACTGCCCAACCAAGACTACAGGTGGGGCAGGCTGGGGCCCCGCCGAGCCACCGCTCGATAGGGACTTGGGTGGCAAAAGTGATGACACCCTCCGTTGACACCTTGCGGGGACCGCAACTGATTCGGGGGCCCAATCATCCTCAGGCTCTCACTCACCTCAGACCCAAGCAATTCAGGACCCCTACCACCGATCGCACACCCAAGGTCAGAAAACTCCCAGAGAGACTCAAGCTTTGATGACGGCGCTGGCGTCGGCAGGGAAATGTGTGCAAGGCGATCCGCTGGCCCTGGACCCGATAGGCCTGATGAAGGCTCACTTCATACAAAAGCTGCATATTCGCCCTGATAGGAAGTTCATTGAGAAAAACGGATTCATATACCCGCACACAGTTTTCCCCCCGCAGGCGCTGGCAAACAGAGACCTCATATACGCTAAAAATTTTGTTCGGTTTCTCTTTCCGAATGATGCGACGAAAACATCCATCAATGAAAAGCTCAGGTGGATCAACGACAGACATCAAAACAGACCAACAGGCGGTGTAAGACCGCTTCCTTGTCGAAACGGTCGATGCCCGGGTAGTAACAGTAGTCACCATCTACCCGATCGACAGAGAAAACCTGCTCAAAATGAGGGGAATAAAATTTTGAGGTATGCCGGTGGAGATTTGCCAGTGGGAGCCGCAAAATCCGATCACGGCCGACCAAAGAAGAGAACAGCTTATGAACAATCACTTTTGGGTGGAATGCAGGTTCGCCCCACTATGTGTCAAAGGAGTAATCTTGGCTGACCTGCAACAAATTGCTCAGATTCTTGGATACATAAACGATCTGCCCCAGGCCGTCCCCAAGAGGGATGACACTTTACTTGTGGCAGTGGATTGGGACCCCAATGAAGGATTCCTGGTTAGCGGTCAGTGGTCATTTTCACAAGCCGGCTGCAACTATGCAGTACAGGTCAGTCACCCCCAGGACCCCTGGTGTTACGCATGCAAGGTAAGGGGACACTTGTGCACTGATTCGCAGTGCCCCAATTACCGAAACAACCATACACAAGGGCTGGTGAAACCACACCTAGATGGCCCAGGAAGATGGGTTCCGGAAGACCGAGCCTATGAAGGCTGGGTATTCTATAGGAAGGCCATCAATGTCCCAGGAGAATGGAGGTGGTAAGGGGAGGGGCGCCCACCCCCTTCCCCGACAAACACAACAACTCCCAATGGTTAGTCCAGAGGGGGTCAGACAAGGCAGGGTATACGTGCAGGTCCAGAACAGCCTGCTCCCTCCTCCTCCGCCTCGGGAAGGAACACAAGGGTGCAACAACACCATAACTCGACTCAGCAGCGCCCTCAACTACCAGGGGCCCGGTCACTGGCCCAACAAAATGACCCGCCTCTGTCTCGCCACAAGGACCATGCCCCCACAAAACGGGGCACCTCATGCTGTGCAGAATAAGTACAATAAGCAGGGCCTGGTGATGCAATAGAGACAGGTTGTTCACGATTCCGACCTGCACCACCACCATACACAACACAAGCAGCAAGGTCAGCTGCAAGGCCAGCGACAAAGTGATCCTGGCCAGGGGGAGCCCTATCAGAAAACCCACAGTCACCGGCAGGGACACATAGAGGCACAACAACCTTTGCTGCCTGAGAAGCACCAGCAGGCAGACCAAAGCACACCCCCCCCCACCTGCACTAAACCCGAAGTAGAAACAAGACCAGCACTGCGGTTCCGATAACCAGCAACCCCTGAATGCACAGCCCAACCGGTCGACTGCCCCCCCACACCAAGAACAGCGCCAGCGGCAGCAAGAGTTGCAAGACTGCGCTACACACCCCACCCAGGACAACATTCCCACAGCAACCACGAACCCGGACGCAGCAGGCCGACAAGGGAACTGACAGACATAACAAGCAGGAGACAAGGATGACGGTAGAAGAAGCAACGGCGGAGAAGGTTGTGAAGTGGAAAGATCGGATTGCAGAAATGTGCGACCGACAACCGGGTGAGAAAGGGGAAGGAATGCATATGCCCCCCACAAACGACAGGCACCCGAGCCGGCCCCCCACCACAGAAACCGTATGACAAAAGGAAGGGGGGGAGCAGCAGCAGCTGCAACAGCTGGTCTTTCGAGAGGAAGAAATAACTACGGCGCTGCCTCCCCCTCCGGCGCACAACCGCATAGAGGCCGCGGAGCCACCGGAGCCACCGGATGGCCCCCCCCCCACCACATCAGCCCCGATTACCATGATGGAGGGAGTGGAGATTGCCACGGAGGACCCGACGGGAAACCTGCCGATGGATCAGGCTGGTCCGGTGGCAGGACCAGCTGACACCGACACAGAAGCTGCAATGGTCCTGGCTGGCCCGAGCACCCACAACACTAAGCAAACGTACACTGTGGACCCGGCCATGGCCACTATGCTGAGAAGTGCACCATGGGAACTTCTGCACAACAGCCACACATTTGGTACAGCCACACTAATAGGGCCCTGGTCGCTGCAGCAGCCCATGACCGGGGGCCTCCGGTACCAACACCTGCAAGCCCCGTCGACGGACGCACCGTCAGGACCCTCCGAATTGCCTGAAGCGGACCCCCCCCCACCGGGGACTGAGGTGCACATGGCAGACAGTGCCAACACCATAAACGATTGGGGGAACCAAGCACGACAACCCCAACCACCGCCTACCCGATGCAACACGAAGGGCCTGAAACGGCTCTCACGGGACAGGACAGTCAAAGCTAGGCTTAAAGTCATTACAGATACCCTTCTAATGGGCCTTTGGGCCCAAGGAACTCACATGACCATCCCCCCGCTGCACTGGGAAAGCATCAGGAGAGCTTTTATGAACATGGCCTCGCTAACAAAGTTTATTGACAGCTTCCTTGACCCCCCCTCGATCGACTGGCGCACAGTAGCCATGAGGATCAGAGATGCCATCTACGACCTCAGGGAAAGAGTGAGAAAAACAAAACAACAAACAAACCAATATCACAATAAAACAGAACACCGCCTGGACCAGGTACTACAGTCTACTCATGTGATCCCAGTGCAGCAACAAATTTAATGGGAGGGGATAAGCTGGCCGACAGTGATAATACAAGAGTTGGACAATGTCATGGGAGGAGACCCACAGGGCTCAACCTTGGCCGAAGCAGGGCCTGAAAACCTGGTACCAGTATACCTCCTCAGGCCGCTGATATACATAAAGGCTGCCTCGGCCACAAGAGACATCGTATCCGAGGTTGGGGCACTCCGGGGGGATGATCAGGCACAACGGCCCGGTGTTCAACACAATGACTGCAACTTGGAGTCCGGATCAGCTGACTCGGACAACTCGGATGATTCTGAGTTCGAATGGGACATGCCCGAAATTGGCTCCGGCCCCTTCACTCTTGTGGATTATCAACCCCCCTGCGACTCTCGCAGGCAACGCAGGCACAACAGACTAACAAACAAGATCAACAACCTAACTCTAACGTGCCCACAGGGCAAATGGCACAGCCCCTCATTCTGCAGCTCACGGCGGAACGATTCGAACCCACTGACATGGCAATTACAACTGGAGTAAGTGGAGCCAATTGCTGTGACAACCCAAGGAAATTGGTGCTCCTCAAGGATCATCTGACCACGGGCACCACAAACGGACCTCCCTCGCACCCCCCCATCGTCTGGTCTGGGGGGGTGGTAGTTCTGGCCCTTAGAAGGGAAACTGAAGGAGCAGCCTGGCAGATGGGACTGAGGTACAGTATGCAGCGGGTCCCCAAATTGGCCGCTAAAGCCTTGGCCGCTGAGCTGCAGCAAGGCTACACAATACAAGGTTGGAGGGGTCAAGCCTCCTAGATACTGACCAGGAATAAGGTGAAGATCCATGTTATGCAGAATGATGGCACCGACACCATTGGGACGGTCCTCCCCCAGGATATACCGTTTCTAAATGGGGTGACCCCAATCCTCCTGCTATTTCCACAAGTTCATCATGAGTCGAACGCTAATTCTCACCTGCAATGGATGACCAAGCATCAACTGCTGAACATGCCGACAACTAGGCTACGAGCTAATACCACCTGGACCACAGAGGAACAGATCCTCTTCCTGCGGATACTCATAGAGGAGGACATGCTGGAGGCACACCAGCAGTGGGATGACCCACCTCTCATCAGGCATATCCAGACTGGACTCTGAGTCTCTCACATAAGCAGCACAGTTTCACAGCCTCCACTGCCCCGCACGGAAATGGAAGGGTACAGCCAGATGGATGGCCAATCACCTGGACAACTGTCGATTGGGGGGGGGCCCGCACACCACACCCAACACTCTTCGCACCAGGGCGCCCAACAAAGACAACATCAAGGACCTTGCCCTAGCCCCCCTCGCCCACCCCCGCCCGCTAGACGACCACCAATGTGGGCGAAAAAGATTGCAAATGCTGATTTGGATATTAGAACCTTTAATGTGATGGACTGGCTCAGGTTAACGAACAAAAGTGTAAGGCTATCTGGAATCAAATAACACAAGATACAGGAGGAACATGGCCTGACGTAATAGTCATCCAAGAGACCCATCTTACGGATTCCCCCACCCATCAGGCCAAGGCCAACCAAATCTGGCCATACACCTCCTTTGCCGCCCCGGCAAGGGCGACTGCATCAACAGGAGTAACCCTGTGGCTTCACCCTACATCTAGGTTCATCCCTGAACACGCGGAATGGGACACAGTGAAAGGCAGATGGGTGTGGCTCAGGGCCACATTGGGAACCGAAACGCTGTACGTGGTCTGTGTATATGCACCCAATGACCTTGGGCATAGAGTCGCTTTTTACACATCAATCCAACAACTGCTCCCTCGTGATGCCCCTATTGTGATGGTGGGGGACTTCAACACAACATTGGACCCGATGATTGATAGGCGAACCTCCACCCACAACCCCCAAAACGCAGCATTGCAAGTTGGTCCCGATGGTGTGGCGCTGGGACATTTGATGGCAGATTTGGGTCTTATAGACTCATACAGACAATTCCATCACACCAAAAAAGCCTACACATGTGTAAGATCGAGGGGAGACAGAGGCATTGCAAACTCCAGGATAGATCTGACCCTTGTCTCTGAGGAGATTGCGTGATTACTCACGGTAGCAAATGTCTGCACCATCTCACCGTGTAAATCCTTTGACCATCTTATGATAGTCACTGGTCTATCCTTCCACTCCCACATAAACAAAGGCCCCGGACTCTTCAGATTCAATACCTCGCTCCTCCAACTTCCTTCCCCGGACACCATGGTCAAAGAATTATGGGCCTATTGGACAGCACACAAACTCGAGGAGGACAGATTAGTCCAATGGTTTAACGAAGGCATTGCACAACTCCGGGAAAGAGTGAAGAAATCTTCAATAAAAAACGCCAGAGAGCGCAAAGACGCCCTTTACAGACTTATGGCCCAACTGGAAGAATGGGAAGCTCAACTTACGGACCGCCCCCTGGACACGGGCACGTATGATGCTTTGCAAAGGTCAAGGGCACAACTACAAGAATACTTGGATAACTAGACCCAAAAATGGCGAATCCAGGCACGAATCAAGAAAGACGTGGCGGAGGGAATGATGACTAAGGCCTTCTTTCGTAAAGCCAAAGCTAGGAACATACAAAATACGGTCCCTTCCTTGAAGCACCCCTTCGATAGTAGCGAACCGGCTGCCTCGAACGCCTATAAGATAGCTGAATATGCCTCGGCATATTACCAAAAATTGTTCACATCTGAGGCTAATCACCATCCACCTCACACCCTACAAACTGCCAGGGAGACTCTCCTAGACGCTATACCTCAATGTTGACCACGCAACAAAGGGAGGCTATGGAGGCACCCATCACACCGGATGAGATGATGCTAGCCCTGCAGGACATGGACGATGAGAAGACACCCGGGATTGACTCATTCCCCAAGGAGTTTTGGCTCCACTTCTAGGAGACATTCCGAGAAGACTTCTGCCAATACGTGAACGCGGCCTACAGAGAGGAAACGTTTGGGGACATGATTGGCCAGGGAGTCGTAACTCTTATCTATAAAAAGGGGGACAAGGACAACATAAAAATTGTGGCAAATTTTCTGACAAGATGATCACATGTGGACACCATATTTTAACCGTTGGAAGTGTGTTTATAAACTGTTTAGCGGGGGGGGGGTCATGTGTTCCACCAGAAGTGAAGGAAACCAACGCTGACAAAACATTGGGAAAACAGAAACTGGTGTGTCAATTTGTTGGTCCATTTGTTGAAAGGACGTTGGTCCATCTATTGACCATTTGTTGACAACTTGTTGAAAACTTGTGGAAAACTTGTTGAAACGTGTTGAGAACGTGTTGAAACGTGTTGAAAATTATTGAAACGTGTTGAAAATTGTTGAAACGTGTTGAAAACTTGTTCACCTGTCGTAGAACGTTACGTTCTGTGTTTGGGAAAAAAATCAAAATTTTTGGCTCATGTCGTCGGTTTTCGCGGTTTCTTCCCATCCTTTTCTCCTGCTGCACGATGCGCTATGCTCTTTCACAAATGTCAATCATTGAGTCTTCCAGTACTCCTGACATGCAACGACCACAATGACTGAAGATAACGCGAGAGAGAGAGAGAGAGAGAGAGAGAGAGAGAGAGAGAGAGAGAGAGAGAGAGAGAGAGAAAGAGAGAGAGAGAGAGTTGGAAGCAGGGTTCACTACTGCGTGACACAAATTCACCGTTATGGCAGTGCGAGAGAGAGAGTGGCACGCAGTAGCCAACCTTTGTTTTTGATTGGTGCTGGATTGCGGTATTTTCATTTTGCTGATGAACGCGTGAGGGAGCGTCGATTAAATGTTGAGCTGCCCTGCTAGAAGCACGGTTCACTACTGCATGACACAAATTCACCAACATGGCAGTCCGCGAGAGAGAGTGGCACGCAGTAGCCAACCTTCCTTTTCGAGTCTGTAGGATTGTTGTAGTTCATTCTATGGACGGACGCGTGTGGGAGCATCAATTAAATGCTGAGATGCCCTGCTACAAGCTCGGTTCACTACTGCGGGCCACAAATTTACCAACATGGCCGTCTGCGAGAGAGAGTGGCACGCAGTAGCCAACCTTCCTTTTCGAGTCCGTAGGATTGCTGTGCTTCATTCTATGGATGGACGCGTGAGAGAGTCTCAATTAAATGTTGAGCTGCCCTGCTACAAGCACGGTTCACTACCGCGTGACAGAAATTAAGCAACATGGTAGCATGAGAGAGAAAGTGGCACGCACTAACCAACCAAGCATTGACGACAACCAAGGATGATGTTTTTTTCATAACATAGTCGCTCTATAACCAATCACACAAAGATGAGCATTACATGGGATTGTACAATTGTGTATCATAAATAACAGACCATATGTTGTAAAGTGACTGTTCAAGTGCCATGGTTCATAGTCTTCATCTCCCCGTCTCTCTCTCTCTCTCTCTCTCTCTCTCTCTCTCTCTCTCTCTCTCTCTCTCTAGCATGCAATGACCGTGACCTTGTGTAATGAACCTTCTGATTCACTGATTCCGTAATGAACCTTCTGGTTCATACTATTATGTTCACCACCTCTCCCCCCCCCCCGCCCCCTGTTCAAGGTCTGGCGCACAGACTTTCTGTATCCCTCTCCCCATCTCTGCTTCTCTCATGCAGCGGTGCA